AAAATACATTTCTGCTGTATTTTAAAGTAAAAGTAAGTAATAATTGTTTCAAATCAGATTAATTAAATCTTAAATAAAGTTTCGGAACAATATATTTTATTTGTTAAACATTTTAGCAAAGAGAATTCCATTGTGCTGATAGATGGCTGTATTGAACGATTTTTTACCGACTTCAACAAAAAAATCTTCCAATCAATTTAACTTAGTTTTCAAATACAGCAAATCATATTGCTTATTGAATATATTAAATGTTCTTTGGGAGCACCTATTCATATATATGTATTTGCAATTACATGAATCGTAGTTATGTGTATATGTATATATGTGATGTTGTTATGTTACTTTTGTATTATTTACAGATTAAATATATACATTGAATTTATAGTAAGTTGTATGTGCATATATATATATATATATATATATATATATATATATATATATGTGTGTGTGTGTGTGTGTGTGTGTGTGTGTGTGTGTGTGTGTGTGTGATGGGTCTTTAGCTATAACTACAGAATGAACTCTCAAAACAGTGGTTTTAAATTTTCCTTCTATGTTTTGATGGACAATGTTCGTTTAAATATTTCCTATAAGTTTAGTTGAAATTGATGTTATTTTTTGAGATATGTAAGAAAAACCAATGTGTTAAATACTTTTGCTACCCATTGTACACACACACATATATATATATATATATATATATATATATATATATCTTACTTATTATAAAACGCAGATTGTGTGTGTGTGTGTGTGTGTGTGTCTGTAACGTTTATATATTGGATCGGATTTCCTACATTTTTCAACCGATTTCAACAAAACTTCATAGGACTACATAAAATTACCTTGTGGTGGTTCTAACAGCGCCAAAAATGGGAAAAATATAATTGTTTTTGCACAAAATCAATTTGAAAACACGATTAAGAGACATCGTGAAAATGGAAGGGGGACAACTCACATCGGTTTGTTTGTGTATGGGGGTTACTTTAAATATGGGAGCGGATTTCCTATATTTTTCAGCCGATAAAACAAAACTTCACTTTTTTTTTTTTTTTTTTTGGTAGTGTTTCTTATTCTCTTGCACACTTTTTTTTTTTATTTTTTAACATTCAGAATGCTTTAAAAATTCCATTTACAAGACAATTATTTATAATAAAATTCTATTCAATCAGTAGACTCATAACGATTGAAAACAATGTTTTTGTTTGAGTTTGGGTTTGACCAATTCGTAAAAAATAAAAATAAAAAAAAAATAATTAAGACATGCGTGTCCGTCAACCTTAAACAATAATCTAACGATCTCTACTGATTGTACGAATACAAACATCGGAATAAATTCTTTATCTTTAGGGAAAGATAATGAAATCTAAACATACACAAGTCCTAACTAAAAATAATAACCGGAACGGGAAACTACTTTAAATACACATGGTGTCCAATTTTTTTACTGTATTCAATAAGTAAAAATCATGAATTGTAAAAGATTATTATATATTACAGAGGAGGCTACTAAATGAATAAGATTTGTTAGATCATAATTAATAAACCCAAATAAAGTTAATATTTTTTGTATTAGAAACAACGAGTGAAAAATATATTCAAATCAGAATTCTAATTATGAATCACCACAAGCAAAATATGCATTTTTTTACTGTATTCAATAAGTAAAAATCATAAATTGTAAAACTAAAAGATTACAGAAAGGCTACCTACATTTTACAACCGATTTCAACAAAACTTCACTTTTTTTTTGGCATGTAGTGTTTCTTATTGTCTTGCACACTTTTTTCTTTATTTTTACATTCAGAATGCTTTAAAAATTCCATTTTCAAGACAATTGTTTATAATAAAATTCTATTCAATCAGTAGACTCATAACGATTGAAAACAATGTTTTTGTATAGGTTTGACCAATTCGTAAAAAAAAAAAAACTAATTAAGACATGCATGTCCGTCAACCTTAAACAATAATGTTTGTCAATTTTATTTTTCAGTCTTTATGATGGTGGATACTTGATCTATCTCTTACTGTTATATCCCCGGGCAACGCCGGGCTCTACTGCTAGTATTTATTTATATATATATATATATATATATATATATATATATATATATATATATGTTTTTATAGCAGATGCAGATGTACATGTACATGTATCTTTGTATATATAGGTGTTTGGGTATATATATATATATATATATATATATATATATATATATATAAAATCAAATCAGGAGATCAATTGAATCCGCTACATTGGTTTCTACCTTACGGCATCCTCAGGCGATTTTTATCAAATGACCTCTTAACGCTTTATTTAAAAAATAAATGCTAATGAAAGTTACATTATTATTTTCAAATAATAATGTAACCAGGGTTTCTGCGTACGCCGATGACGTATCCATTTTCGTGTCGTCTCGCAGCGACATTGAGATGGTACAGACGACGCTTGAACAGCACGCAAAGGTCACAGGGGCTAAGATTAGCCGTTACAAGTCTTCCGACTTGCGGTTAGGTGCTAGGAAGGGGGTTTCTCTTCTGAGGCCATTTGGTTGGGCGGACGGTTCTCTCTACATTCTTGGAGTGTGCTTCGAACCCAATGTCCAGCTGGAGAAAAATTCGTCAGAAGTACAGACAAAGGTCGGAGCGTCGGTCCGGACTGAGTTCCGAAGGAGGTTGCCCTTGAAAGGTAGAGCTTAGGTGTGTGACATTTACCTCTTTCCTCTCATCCTTTACCGACTGACTGTACTTCCTCTTTGCAAGGAGCATAGGAAGGTGATCGAGCACTTGTTACCCACCCTCTTGTAGCAAAGTAAGGGAACTTGTGTCCAACGTCTGTGTCATGGGAGGCTGGGATTGTCACACTTGGTAAATCATCAACACGCCTCGAGGTTGGCTTTCCTATATATATATATATATATATATATATATATATATATATATTTATGTGTGTGTGTGTGTGTGTGTGTGCATGCATGTGTACGTATGTGCGTATATGCGTATACGCGTATACATGTGTACATATATATGAGCATGGAATAGATTTTCTGTTTTTATTTTATATATATATATACTAGCAGCATGGCCCGGCGTTGCCCGTGCTTGATTCAAAAATCGTACGACTCATACAGCAATCGCTATCACTTGACTTAAAATATTTTTGCCCTTCCTTGCCTTTAAAGGAATGCCCTTTGCCGTGCTGACGTTGCTACACGCCTTACTTCTTGCCTATCTCACACTGCGAATTTTTTCTAAGCTCTATACTAAACATTAAATCTGTTACGAAAAAGAACTAAACAAAATGAATACAAAACGATCAGCTTTAAAAAAAAAGACTCGTAACTGGAAAAAACGAATGAAAAAAAATGTTAACAACAAATACTTTTCACACCCAACCCAGTTCTGCAGAATCAGAATCAACGTTGAGTTTAAGCGAGCGAATGAGCCAATTGGAGTAAAGTGCCATGCAGATTTAAATTTTTCCCACTTGTGACGAATGCATTCATTTGCATGCTAGCATGCTAGTTAACATTCGTGTCAGTCAGCTGTGGCTCTCATGCTGGCCAATACAATCTTCCTGCCTATTCGTGGCAGCCAGCTGTAGGCTCTCTCTCTAGTCAGTAGAAAATGGCCGCAAACTACATGAAAACTGCTGTAGAAGCATGAAAAAATCGATTTTTTCCACTATCGATGTCGGTCTTGGCCTTCCCACTAACTTGGAGCATGTGCATGTAAATTTTGGTGCAAATCCGTCGAAAATTGCGGCTGTGTATTCGTTACACACACACACATCCTGCCTTTTATAGATAGAGATATGTGTGTGTGGGGGGTATGTGTAAATGTCACTGGGATAAATTTCTCTGAATCATTTTATTTGCCCAAACAGTTTATTCAAGTTTTAAGCTGCTTGCACATTATCATTTTTCGTAAAATTTCCTGCCACAAATGCGCAATAGAAAATTTCAAGGTTTTAGCAATTCTTTAAAAGCAGAAAATAAAATCGATGGTGGATACCGATACGTTTCGATTTTTCGTTGAGAAAAACCTGGAGTGAAAACTTTGAAAAACAAAGACACGGATTAGCTTTCTCATGGTTTGAATTCGCTGGCTAGGGATAATTAGGTGTTGTGCGTATTCAAATAGAAATCCTCCACCCCTAGAAAAAAAATAGAGAGAAGGAACAAGAAAAGTGAAACGAATTGAGGGCGGTTATAAAAGATTGCATCCACAATTTACAACCATGAACGTGAAAGAAAATATGGCAGAGAACATAAGGATAGGGGAAAAAAATCATAAATTCCATTCGGAGGGGGGAAGACAATATGTGCAGATATTTAAAATCTCACCCAAGAGGCGTATAGCCACCCGATGCATTGAAAATCCTGAATAGTTGTTCGGGGAAAATAATTTTGCAGCCAAAAGCAAAAGATTTGCCGATGGAAATACTGTTTCCTCGGCGACGGCAGAATCGAATGAATCCGAAGTGACAATGATATAAATCGATCTACGCGTCGAAATGCATTTGAAACGATCCTAACAAGGGGAGATAAAACTTACCACGTGACGTAATATAAAAAACGATTGACAAAAAAAGTCACGCATGCGCTTTAAGTAACAAATTTATTCCATTTCTTGTCTATTGATCTAGGTGGGATAAGGATGGCAACAGAATAGTGGATTAATAATACAAGACTTACACCTTTTATATCAACATAGGCCCCAACATTTAGTTAAAAAAAAAGAAAGACAGAAAAAAATCAGATTGACTGACTCGTTTTCTTATCAACCCATTGCATGTTATTTAAGCTAAAAAATATTTATAAGATAATGCTTTAGTGATACAAGTCTCACTAATTAATCCGTAGATGGAGAGATAGAAGAGGTTGGTTCATACATTTCCAAAAATTATTTGCGCGTAAGTAAACATAAAGAACGCAACGTGAACTCGGCTCTTTCATTAACTATTTCTAGCCATCACCCATTAAACCACCCGAACATCCAAGCTTACAGCACCTGGTATTCCCAAACGGTCACCCGTCTAGGTACTGACCAGGCTCGACTTTTCTTAACTACGTTGATTGTGCGGGAACTGGTGCTTCAACGTGATATGGCTTACGGCCACATCACGTTGAAACACCAGCTTGATCATACTGATAAGACAGACAATAAGGGTAGCGTATACGTAAATGGCTTAGACGAGTTTCTAACGGAAAGCAAGAAGAAAGGACTAACTATTCACTTTCCAAATACATACTGAGTGGTTGTCAGAAAGCGACATGAAGTTTGATCTATGGACTGAGACGTCATATTCAATCAAGTACGGAAATTCAATTGTCTGGACAGTCGTAAGAGGCAACGGAAATCTGAATACAGTATAAGAATAAGGAAATATGTATTCCAGAAACTAAGCTGTGTACTAAGACATCGGAAAATCTCGTTAGAAACTAAAATATAAAACTGTTGAACTGTTCTGCAATATTTACTCTCATATATGGCAGTGAACACTGAAAAATTTCAACGCAGACGTAAAAGAGACTTACAACGTCACCGATTTGGTTCTACCGGAAATGTAATTGAGAGAACATTTGCGTGATGAGGAAGTTTTAAGGAAAATAAGAACGGCAAGGAAACTTATGTTAACAATCAGAAAGAGACAGCTAAAATCATGGACACCTAATGAGAAAAACGGATTAGAGAATATAATATTCATAGGCATTACTCCTGCGAAGAGAGACAAATAGGGAAATAGCGAGTAACCTACTTGCAATTTTTGCGAATGTATGACACAGAATGGACAAAGAGATGGTAAAAGATCAAAACTGAGTTAGAGCAACAAAAGACAGTAAATTATCGATAGAGCGTACTGAAAGCACATGACACAAAAAAAGAAGAAGAAGAAAGAAGGAGGAGGAGGGGGAGGATAATAATAATAATAATAGTAATAATAATACAAAAAACTCGTACTTACAATTACAACCGACACCTTCCAAAGGGCTTTACCTATGTAAAATATGTCATTTTTATTTTCAAATTTGCTCAGTGGAAAATGTCATGAAGCCATTTTTGACCTTAGGTCTCTGGTCGGCACCCGGAACGAAATGAGTACATACCAGACATCAAAGGAAATAATAATAATAATTAATAATAATAATAATAATAATAATATCTGCACTGGAAAATCTGCAGCTTCTACGGGAAGAAAACTGAAAGAAAATGGTATGAACACCACCCAGACCCGGTTACGGAGATAGGACCTGTTACAATTCTATGGGACTACACAATACACACTGACAGAACAATCAAGGCCAACCGGCCAGATATTGTTATTAAAGACCACAAACAAAAACGATGCCTCCTTATTGATATGGCAGTCCCTGCTGACTGCAATGTATCTTTGAAGATATTCAAAAAGTTGTCAAAATACAAGGACCTTGAAATAGAAATCTCAAAAATGTGGCATATGGGAACATCAACAATCCCTGTTGTAGTTGGAGCCCTAGGACTGGTTGGAAAAGATTGCAGTAGACTAATTGAAGGGATTCCTGGAAGTCCATGCCTCAAGTAGATACAAAAAATTGTTCTGACAAGTACAACCCACATTTTACGAAGGGCTTTATCTAATTTCTTTTTTTTGTCAGTGGAAAGTGTCATGCTGCCATTTCTAACCTTAGGTCCCTGGGCGGGACCCGGAAAGAAATGTGTAAACGCCAGAAATCAAAGATGATAATAATACTAAACTATGTTAGAGTTAGAGAGGGTGAATCGATAGTTAACATCGATGAGTTCTGAGTTCAAAATCCAGTCAAGCTTATTTTTGTTCCTTTTCGCACTTCGACACTTTGGATCATGGCAATGGATTCATCTATTCACTTTTTAGATTTAAATTAAATAATACAGTTGTCTGGCTGACAACGTATCTTGACTTTATAGGATGTTTTAATAGGATACGTTTTTCATTTGTCAGATTTCTTAAACATTTTGTCGGGATTTCTGTCTCTTATTTTAAAAAAAAAAACATATATTGTCGACACAGAAAACACTGATAAACCAATAAGCATAAATCTTTTACTTCGAACCCATTCTGAAGAATTGTATGAGGATTTGCCTTAGATTCATTTCAGAAAATGCTAAACAATTTTCTTGCTTTCGAGCCATTCTGAAAATGAAATGAGGATTTGCCTTTAATTCGATACATAAAAAGCTATGAAAATATATTAACAACTTTCGATATGAACTAAGAATTGGAAAGAAAAAATAGAGAATAGATATTAATGGCTGTTTTTAAAAGTTACTTATTATCATTCTTCTTTAATCACGAGAATCACCAGCTTAGGGAAAAACGACTCTTGAGTTATTATTTAAGAATACATAAATGTTGAAACTTGACTAATGCATGGAATAATAATGCAACACAAAATGTACTTAGAACAAAATGTATTGAAACAAGAAAGTGTACACAATATTTACATATAGTCTTTTGTATATTCCTGGTAAGACCGTTCCTGGAGAATGTGTTGACTGAGTCGCAGTCGGGCAGAGTCTCTGGTTGAATCTCTTGATTCCTCCCTCTCATCCCGGTACCAACCATATTTATATGGTCGGTACTCCACTGTGCAAATTAGGTGGATCCTACCACAACAATAAAAATGCACATACACATATTTCTGTCTTTCGTTTTGGGATCTGATGAAACCTAGAAAGGGGAAACGCGTAATAAAAATCTATTTTCAATCAGATCTATTTTCAATGAAACGTTTTCCATTTGCCAAATTTCTTTGTCAGAATTTCTGTATCCTTTTTTAAACACGAACGCACGCACACGCACACGCACACACACGCACACACACACACACACACACACACACATATATATATATATATATAATATCAGTTGATGATTAGTAGAGATATTTCCAAGGAGGACATCAATGTAAGAACAGTGCAATTTAATAATGAATCCAGAATCCTAAAAAATCCATCAGGTCAGGTTATAAATTTATTTCGTGGACATCACGTCTATCTCTTCAAACCAGTTTACATTAATAAATGAAGTTCAATTTATTCAGACACAAGGAAAAAAGAAAAAAGAAAAAAACGAAGAAAAAAGACAGAAAATAGAAAAAGGAAAAAGTTTTAATATTAAAACGGAGAAAGAAAAAAATGAAAGAAGGACAAAAATTCAAATACAAGATTTTGTGGGGGGAAAAAAGAAAGAGGGATAGATATAGGGAGGGTAGATGAAAGAGGTGTGAGAGAGGGAAAGAAAGAAAAGAGGGAATTGGGCATAGACGACAGGGTGACCCAGAAAAGACCTTTTCTTCCGGGACTTGACAAGTTAAGAAACAGCGTAGCAGAAGATAATGATCATATTCAAAATAGATTCATTTTAATTGTCTAGTCATTTTAAGCAGTGAAATTATCATCATCGATTTATAACTGTCGCAATTACAAATTGATAATAATAATAAAATAATAATAATAGTAATATTAATAATATTTGACATCAATATAATGATAGAACATAAAGTAAAAAAAGTAATTGAAATAAAAAATAATAGTTAAAAAATTAAATTAAAATTTATAAAAATACGTATCAAAAATATTAATTTAATTAAGAGATAAACAAAGGACAATATTAAGTAACTAAAATATGCAAAGATATATATATATATATATATATATATATATATATACATACACACATACATATATATATATGTGAGTATATCGATAATAATAACAATAATATAGATAAAGAAAAGAAAATTAATTCATAATTTAAAGATTATAACCGATGTAGGCAAAACGACATAAATGCTAATGTATAAAAAACGTGAATGCATTCAGGTATGCATGTTAGTACCCATATAAAAAAAGCCAACATTTCAAGTATAAATTCACCAAAATGTTAGGGAATTTTAAATCCGTTTATTATTATTATTATTATTATTATTGTGATTTGTGTATGTCATGTTTCCTGCTTTGTATCCTGTAGACCCAAGTCCAAACTATAGTCCTTAGGCCCGATAGAATTGTCATTTAATTGATAGCACTTTTGATCCTAGGATGTTCCTAGTAGGGCGATCTTCTGGGCAACTTGTATGTGAATGTTACCTGGGATATTGTTAGTAAAATTGTCCATTCCTTTTCTCAGGAAGACCAGAGCTCGGATTACTATTGGTAGAGTCTCAGTCTTCATTCCTCACATCCTGTTAATCTTGATCTCCAGGTCCTTGTATTCGGAGAATTTCTCGATAAATTTTATGGGTGTGTTTCTCTTAGATAGTACTGCTATGTTATTATTATTATTATTATTATTATTATTATTATTATTATTATTATTAATAATAATAATTTAATTTCATTATTATTAATATTAATTTGTAATAGTCAAGGTTATAATGCGATGATGATGATGTTATCGCTGCGTATAATGACAAAACAATTCAATATATATATATTCTGAACATGATCACTGCCTTCCCCCACCCTGTTTTCTAACTACCCAGGCCCGAAAAAAAAAGGCTTTTCTTGGTCAACCTGACGACTATGCTTAATTCATTCTTTCATTTCTTTCCCTCTCTCAATCTCTCTCATCCTCTCTCCCCTCCATATGTTCTATCTCTCTTTCTCTTTCCCACCACAAAAACTTATATTGAAATTTTTTCCCAACTTTTTCTTTCTCCCTTCTATTCTCTTTTCTTTTCTTTTTTTCTTTTTTCTTTTCTTTGTGACTGAATAAATTGAACTCCATTTATTAATGGAAAAACTGGTCTGAAGAGATGGACGTGAGGTCCACAGAAATAAATTTATAACCTGACCTGTTGATGTATTTTTAAAGATTCTGTATTCATTATAGATATATATATATATATATATATATATATATATATATATATATATATATATATATATATATATTGAAACAAAATGGCTATTTTTGTAGTGATTTTATAACATATTTATGTTATAAATTTTTAAATAAATATTTATATATATATATTTTTATAATATATATATATATATATATATATATATATATATATATATATATATATATGGGGAGAAAAATACAAAGAAAAAAGCGGTCATTATTTCATATTAATTATTAT